CCTCTCCTCTATTGCTTAGGGTCTTAGCTTGGGTCATCCTTGTAGATTCCTGGGAATTTCTCTAGAGCCAGGTTTTTTGCTAGCCCCATAATGGCTCCCTCAATCAAAATATCTCTTTCCTTGCTCTCATCTCTGTACTTCCTCCATCTCAAATATCTCATTCCCTCAAGTTCTCCTCCCCACTCCACTTCTCTCCTCCTCTTCCTCTTCCATCCTCCTTTCTCCCTCCACCACCATGCTTACAATTTTGTCAGGCAATCTTGTCTATTTTGACGTTCCAGGTAGATCTATGTATGTTTTACTTAGGGTTTACCTTGTTACTTAGCTTCTCTAGAAGAATGAACTACAGGCTCAATAGTCTTTGTTTACAGCTAGTATCCACTTATGAGTGAGTATATACCGTATTCATCTTTTTAGGTATGTGTTACCTCACTCAGGATGGTGTTTTCTAGTTCCATACATTCAAGATGTCATTTTTTTAAACCACTGAGTAGTACTCTAATGTGTAAATGTGCCACATTTTCTTTCTTTATTCATTCTTTGGTTATGGGGCAACCAGATTGTTTCCAGGTTCTGGTTATTACTGAAGGCGAAGGCATAAGTCACAAACAATCCCACACCAGTTTGGAATTATGATTAATAGAATGGTTATTTATTTAAAGGGGAAAAAAACTTACAGATCACCGTCCCAGACAACAACCCTCTGCACAATCAGGAAGGGAGTCTAGTCGCCAGGAGCGGAGCAGGAAGTAAGAGAGAGAGGAGAGGGAAGTGGCCGTTTTTTTAAAGGGAGAGAGACCACACCCCAATGGGCTGGTATCTCAGCGGCTATTGGCTGAAGTAGCGGAAGGAGCTCCTGCAACATATTACAAATAGTGATGCTATGAACATAGTTGAACAAATGTCTTTGTAGCATGATTGAGCATCTTTTGGGTTTATGCTCAAGAGTGGAATTTCTGGATCCTGAGGTAGGTTGATTTTCAGTTTTCTGAGAAACCACATACTGATTTCCAAAGTGGTTATATGAGTTTGCATTCACACCAGCAATGAATGAGTATTCCCCTTACTCCACATCCTCTCCAGCATAAGTTATCATTGGTGTTTTTGATCTTAGCCATTCTGACTGGTGTGAAATGGTATCTCAGAGCTGTTTTGATCTGCATTTCCCTGATGGCTAAGGATGTTGAACATTTCCTTAAGTGTCTTTTGGCCATTTGAAATTCTTCTGTTGAGAATTTTCTGTTTAGTTCTGTATCCCATTTTTAAACTTGGCTATTTGGAATTTTGATGTCTAATTTCTTGAGTTCTTTATATATGTTAGAGATCAGTCCTTTGTCTGATGTGGGGTTGGTGAAGATCTTTTTCCATTCAGTAAGCTGGCTTTTTGTCTTATTGGCTGTGTCCTTTGCTTTACAGAAGCTTCTCAGTTTCAGGAGTTCCCATTTATTCATTGTTGCTCTTATTGTCTATGCTACTAGGGTTATACGTAGGAAGTGGTCTCTTGTGCCTATGTGATGCAGTCTACTTCCCACTTTCTCTTCTGTCAGGTTCAGTGTGGTCAGATTTATATTGAGGTCTTTAATCCATTTGGACTTGAGTTTTGTG